AGGAAACATAATAATAATGATTATCAAAACTTATTCCATCACAATTATAAACAAATAATTTGTCAGGAATTATCTTTTTTCTGTTTTACTCAGTGGCCGATGTTGATTTCTGGTAGCTATCATATTGTTGTAAATATGGCGGTCAGTTTAAATGGATCACCCAGTATGTGAATATTTTTTCATAGCTGTTCTTGCAACATGCATTGAAATGAAGTGAGTTTCTTTTAATGGTGATTGTAGAAATGTAAGATGAAATAATAATTGATAAAAAAATCTCTGATTCTTGAATTCCATTCCTTAAGTGTCAGAAAACGAATGAAAAGTGTTCAATAGTTGACCTTCTGTTTTCCAATAACTTAATCTATCAATAAATCCCCTGGAGGAACCTTCTTGAGAAACATAAACTTTTTTTTCAAACCTGCTTGAGAAGATTCGTTGATAGGTTAGGTTAATGTCAAGCAGCTGGAGGTCTACTTTTTGAACAGCTTTTATAGTTTTGTAACAAGTAAACGAGTAAAACCCTAATACCAGACACCTTTTATTGAGTAATATTTCATCTTATATAATCAATCACAGACACGCCAAACTTTATATAAATGTAAGTTATGAGACTTGCAGTCCGAAAAAATATCTTCATGCAGGGTAATCCATTTATGAACACTGCAGACTACGCCATATTCACCACAATATGATAGCTACCAAAAATCAACGTTGGCCACTGAGTGGGACAGAAAAAAAATACTTAGATGACATGATAGATAAAAAAATGAATTACATCTATTTATTCAAGTGTATAATATTATTAGATCTTTGGGGATATACCCATTCATGACTGAAAACAATCTCATGGCTGCTATGTTATGTTATGGCTGAAACAGTAGTTATGCAATAACCATATTGTGGTGGCATTGCTTTGCGAAACTTTCTCAAAATTGAATCAGCAGACCAGGTTGTCTATAGTATTGATGAATTCATTTGACCTATACTTGTAAATCAGGTCATTATACAGGGTTTTCCAAATTTTACCAGCGATAATTTGGGTTCTTGAAAGTGTAATAATCAATTACACATCACATGTAGATCTTAAATAATTATTTGTATAGGTTATTTTATTTTTTTTTCTGTGACGGGAAAAAAGTTTGGCATTTCATCTCTGTTGGCAGGTTATAAAATGTCACTTTTCATAAATTACTTTTTTCCCGTGGGAAAAAAGTGAGTACTTCTTTCCCGGATATATATCACATATATATACTCTGTTAATGGCTTTTGTTGTGCTATAGTTCCGAAATATAAGTCAATAATACCGTCTCCGAGAAAGAACTGCAAGTCCTTTTATCTTCCATTCGACTTCGCGGTTTCGTATATTACTAAACAACTACTGAATTCGCAATTTTTTAAAATCAAATCACAGAATTGAACTGACAGAAGTGACATCAGATATTTGATTACTTCAAAAGAATGATAAAGATGTCTATAAAACGCAGGTGTCCCTACTGTTAAAAACTTGAAATTTCACGTCGATAATTTTCAGATTTCGAAATAATGTAATATCTTTCCAATATTGATTCGTCCTTCCTTCTGTCACAGAAAAAAATAGTGTATTATACACGGGAAAAATATTAGATTTTAGCTCACGGTTTTTTGTCTCCCTCCGCTACGCGTCGGGAGACAACACAACCTGGAGCTAAAATCTACTACTTTTTTCCCTTGTATAATAAATAACTATTTATGATTAGCTGATCCGTAGCTGCATTTGATATGAAATTTGAAACATTGCAATATTGCATATTACACTTTTTTTGTTATACAAGGTGGGATTATAGTGGGCCCGGATTCGATTGCTAGAGTCCTATGGTAGGTAAAAACAGGATAAAAAGATATGTAAACTTGACTAACAGATGTATAACCAAAATTTACTGCCGTATATACAGGGGGTACGACCCAACGGTGCATTTTCGTATAGAGGTAAGTTGATTTCAATCGTTCTATCATGGAAGCAATGGGTAGTTTCCTTCCATGTGTGTTTAATCAAATTAATTCACAGGCGGGAGAGAATGGATACCTTTGATATATTTAAATAGCTATCAAACCAAATATTGACAAATGCCTCTGATATTTTCTAGAAAAACTTTGAAGTACTAAGAAGTTTTGAATTGAAAAAAAATTACAATTGTCATTCAAAATATCTAAAACAGCATGAAATATTTTTGCTTTTGACCTTCAAATTTTGAATTATATACGTTGGAGCTTTTCGAATGTGTGTGGATCATGTCCCTGCAAATTTCAATCGGAGTTTCAATTTTGAAGGACCAAAATATTGCAAAAATGTCAATATCTTTGGAAAAAGATCTCCCCTCAAGGCGTAGGATCTGTAAGTCACTGTTAAAAACCGCTCTGTTCGTCAGTTTAGCTCGAATATTGATTAAAAAGCAAGAATATGGATACCTTAATTCTACTGTTTTTTCAGTTTTAGAAATTATTGCTGGTGGAATTCGAAAGACTGTATATTACTTGTTGCTAGATTTTTTGTTCATAGATCAATTTATACTTATGTTCAACTTTTTGTAAATTGCGATTTTTGCAAAATTCGACTGTAATTTCCATCACGGAATGAGAAATATAATCTTTGTGTTTTTGTTGATATTATTTTACTTGATTAAAAAATGAAAATTTCCAATTGGAAAAAACTGTTGAGGAAATAAAAACTTCTATAACACTATTTTGTTATTTTATTTAACGTTGATAAATGTCTAATTTCAAATTTTTATTCTTCAACTTATTAGACAAACCTTTAAACAATGGTTAAACGTATTTTCTACATACAAGGTTACTGATGGAGTTCCATACATTTCGTGATTTATTGTTGTCATGATTTTTTTATACTTTCACTGGCGTTACATTTTAACTAAATGGCAAACCTGAAATACGTTTCACACTCAAATTATGTAAAAAAAATTCAATAGCTGCTGAGTCATCGAATAATTTCGACAGTACATTTTGTGACAATGTTGTCAAATTTGTTGAATGTTTGATGATGAATAAATAAAGTTTATCATTCACGAATTATGTCTTTATTAGAGGTTGGTACCTCTCATTTGAAATGTTTGCAAAGTTGTGAAGACACTCCGCGAAACAAAAGATCACTGTTGAAAAGAGTACTAGTTAGCTTGACAAATCTAGAAAGAGCATTTTTACATGATTTGTTGTCAAATTGAATCCTAAAAGGGCTTGTTCGTTTGGATTTGAAATCAAGACAGTAAAAAGAAAACAAGACCAAGTATAGCTTCTTTTATACACCTTTATACTTTCCAAAATCTTCAACGCGAATCAACAAAAGTAGTTTTAGCCTGACAATTCAATTAATGTGTGAAAAATTCCACAAGCCGCGTGATTTTGTCATTATGACAGCGAAAAAAGTTTTCCCTAACTTTTCCAGCGACAATAACGAAACCTAACTTTTAAAAGCATGACAACCAGCAATAAACAAATGTTCGATGAATTAAATTGTCTTACCGAATTACACTCTAGCTTTTTTTCAGTTGAAGTAAACTTGGCATGTATAATTCGAATTTTGTTGCCATTAGGTAATTCAACTCAAAATACTGCCAGAAAAAATGACTTGTTCTAGGGACTCGTAATTTTTTCAGAAGCAGTATTTTTCCTCAAATTGTCAGGCAACAAAATTCTTATTGATACATGTCAAGTTGACTTCGACAAAGAAGAGCTCTCGTGTAATTATAAGTGACAATAAATAATGTGATTTTCTTATCCACCGGTTGCCCAAAGAAGTTATTAAAATGTATGTGAATGTTATTATTTCATGTGACCCATTCCGAATAATTTAATGTAAGTATAGTTATATTTTTTTAGTTGACACATTTGCATTCAAATTTTGAATAGGCTGGGCCGATACTAACTTGATAAAAATAGTAGGTATAGCTTCTTCAAGTGAAATAACCGTACAGTAAACTAACCTAACATTGACTTGTCTAATTTTACTTATACAGGGTGTTTCATTACTAATTGGAAATATGTTCAACTATAGAGTTAATCAAATGTATGGATCCATCCATATATCTCAGTCACCAGTTGTTAGATCTTTCTGAATTTTTATACATGATGAATTGGGAAAAACCGGAAGATACTAATTTTGAATAGAATCTCGGATCATAATTACTTAACTATCGTCTGCCATATGGGATCCGCCATCTTGAGTTTCCAAATTTTGACAATAGAATCATGATATCCGACCCCGAAAACCCCTAGATACCAGTTTTGAATATAATCCGGTCATAATTACTAAACTCGTCCTCCATATTGGATCCGCATCTTGAATTTCACAATTTTGACCAAAGAATATTAATCATAACAAACATTCCCAGATTCCCCAGATACCAATTTCAAATAGAATCGGGCCATAATTACAACACTCGTCGGTCATATTGTATCCGCCATCTTGAATTTACAAATTTTGACGAAAGAATCATAATAACCGACCCCGAAAACTCCCAGATACCAATTTTGGATATAATCGGAATAAGGAACCATATGGATAACTAAAAGGGTCATGAATTCAACATACCATTTGTTTACGTCCTTCAAATGTCACTTGAGCTACGTCGTCATTCAGACGTCTCCTTAACGTCGGTTGGTCAATCATATGATATGAATTATGACCTCATTGCATATTGAAAAACATCTGTTCAACGAAATATGTGTCATCGCAATATGGCGATTAGGTTTGGCGTCAATATTCAGGGAAAGTCAATAAAAAAGGCGCTCATTAAGAATATATTCAGTGTTTATTTATTAATTAAAATTAATCGGCATTCTCAATTTTTTGTTTCGATTTTAGTTTGAAAATCAGTATGAAACACTTATGGAAAATATAACGTCGAATATACCACAAAAAGACAGTAATCTAATCACTCATTAGTTCTCAATGACTATAAAGGGGTTTTGGTTTATGATAATAAATTAGGGTAGTACAAAAACAGTTTTCAACGATTCTCAGCGTTATCATTTTGTTCCTGATTATGTTCATCATTGTTTTCGTTTGCTGGCCTATTATTCTGGTTTCCCCATTGGAAACCTCCTGGTTGCTCTTCAGGTAACCTCTGATAATCATCAGGAAGAGGGTCAAATAACGTTCTCCTAAAACATGAAAAATTAATGATGAAAAAGTTCTGACCTCTACATATTACAGTGAAAAGAATAATTTCATCTAGAATGATAGTTCTCTATGAATCCAACATGATATTTTTGATTGGACTAAACTGGGCGTCAATTGAAACGTTAATATTGAAATTTGGCATCAAGTTTGACTTCTCGTAATTTCTAAAATATTGAACAAATTTTGAATTGCCGCCCAGATTCTGAATGCCTTTTTCGTCTTTCGAACAGTTCCTTACAGCTTCTTCTAAATTCATCAGGACCCGTGATACAGGGTGAAACAAAGTTTCGTGCATTTTGAAAAATATTTCTCCGCCCCCCCATTTTGTCGGAAGACCACAATGCTCATATTTTATTCAGGCATTTCATAGATAGCAACCATACCTCGGGACGTTTTCGAGTTTTTGCCAAAAACTACTGTGGTTTCCAAAAAAAAAATGTTTTGCATTTTTTTTAAATGGACTGATTTTAGAGGAGTACATTACTCAGTGTATCCTCAGAACGATGAATCAGTCTATTTATTGTCATGACTGACTTATTGAGAATGGTACTTAAATAAGTTTGGGTATGGGTATATCCTAATCGTCGTTACCTGAAATAATAATTATCTGTACTGAATTATAGTTTATATCACTATAGTGATCTCACCTAGTGATATTTTTCTACAAACGTCAAAAAATGACAAGGTTCGCGCATTTCCTACGTTACCATTATTCCTTGCACAAAACAATGCGCGAAGTACCTACTTCGCGCATTGTTATGTAAAATAAATGAGATATTTATATTTCAACTTTATGGTCCTCAATCGAGCAGACATCCACAAAATCATTTATTTCTGAATGTTCAACAATAACTTTGTTTTTTCTCTTGGAGCGCATGAAAGGAAATTCCTATTATGTTCGTGGAACATCGTGCGTACCTAGGGAGGATAGGGGGAGACCTTTCAAGCCAGTTCAACACTATTTTTTATATCAAGTTGAGCATATTTTTCCTTTAGAACTATATTTTTTGACGTTTGTAGAAAAAATGTTGTTTGCAACTCGAGCGCGAAATACTTTGGTCATCTCGACTATTTTTTCAACTCGGCTACGCCTCGTTAAAAAAATCAGATCTCAATAACCAAAGTAGCATTTCGCGCTCTAGATACAAAAATAACTATTTCCATTTCGACCCGATTTGAACGAGGCATCTTTAAATTTTTTAGGACCCGAACAACACTGACGTTTTCATGAAAATTGGCAATTGATATAACCTCTATGCATACCTACATTGTTTCAATAATACGTTGTTATAGAAACAAGGTATCGTTGTTTGTTTTTGTTGATGAGATGTGTTGATTTACTGCTCACTAAGGTAGAAATCTTTTATCATAGACTGCGAAGTAATAAATTATTAATTGTTTTTGAGTAACCTGGTATACATATCTGCTCCAACGCTTTCCTGAAATGCATAAGAGCATCCACTTATGGAACTCCTCTAGAATAAGTCCATTTAAAAAAAATGCAAACATTTTTTTTTTCTTGAACCACAGTAGTTATTGGCAAAAACTCGAAAACGTCCCGAGGTATGGTTGCTATTTATGAAATGCCCGAATAAAATATGAGCATCGTGGTCCTCCGACAAAATGGGGGGGCGGAGAAATATTTTTCAAAATGCACGAAACTTTGTTTCACCCTGTATCACGGGTCCTGGTCAATTTAGAAGAAGCTGTAAGGAACGGTTCGAAAGACGATGAAAAAGGCATTCAGAATATTTTAGAAATTACGAGAAGTCAAACTTGATGCCAAATTTCACTATTAACGTTTCAATTGACGCCCAGTTTATATGACACAAAAATCACTTCCCACTATGACACAAAAAAGCACTTCCTCTGATCAAGGCGACTTCCCATTCCAAAATATCTTTTATTCAAAGGAGAACCCATTGAAAAGTGAATACAGCAATATAAGCTATTATTAATCAGAATTACGTCATTTGACACTTTTGAGGGCAAACATTTGTATTTGGCCATATGAAACCAGAAGTAGTGGGATCTTTTTTCTTGGAACCCGAAAGAATTTCATGATTTTGTTTGGTGAATCTGTCTGTCTGGTCTGTACAAAACTCACTACATATTCCTGAGGTCAAAATAAGCCGATTTGAAGTAATAACTTACCTCAGTCCGAAATTGTTACGACATACAGGGCGGTTAAGTTAAAAAATGAAAACCCAATTCTTCAAACTGTATCAACATTTTTCAAAGTATCACGTCAAAAATTGGTAGCCAAGAGCTTTTTGGGATGCGAAACCCGAATACGGACACCATTTCACTGTGGCCATCAGAGGGCGCTTACAAATGCACTTCTTATGGTTTGGAATGGTCATAACTTTTTTTCTCAGAAAATGTTTTTCTGAATATTTAAGAGCACAAAAGGTGCTCTTGTGGAAATTCACTCAATTGAGCGGTTTTTCGAGATATTTCGGTGTTCAGTATTCGATGCCGTACCGGAATAATTAAATCATTTGGATTGAAACATTTTTGCTGTTATCTTCGTATACTTTTTTGCAATGTGCTTTTTTATGTTCTGGTTCCCACAAAAAGGGATATCCTGTAATGTTAAGAGAACATCGTGAGATTTTTATTTTTTAAATTTACCACCCTGTATCTTGGAAACGGAGCAATTTTGGACTGAGGTGAGTTGCTTTAAACCGTCTTATTTCGAACTCCGGACTGTGTGCTGAGATTTTGTACTGGTCTTTTAGGAACACCCTGTATATTGTGAATGTGGGGAGGGGATAGTTTATGTTTCCTTCAAGAAACCATGTCAAAATCGCGTGTTCTATACAGGCTGATTTTAAAATAAGTGCATATATTTTAAACACTAAGAAAGCTTGAGGTATACTACCGAATAGCACTATTAAAAATATTATTAGGATCAAAATAGATTTGGGGCAAAATACCCTTTTTCCGCCCAGATTTCTACTTCTGTCGACCGTGATGAACGAAACGACGTTGCCACTCTACATGAAAATTAGGAGATATTAAATAAAATGTATAATCGAGAAAATGTACATTGGGAAGAAGTTAACCCTGGTCTTGAATTTCAGAAAGATAATACAAAAACTTTAAAATGGACTCACCCAAGATTTCTACACATAAGCTCGAATAGCGTATGACTTAACACCTCACGGTTGGAAGTTCTTTTACTGAAAAATCCTTTAGACCCTTCCTTCCACCTCCTTGCATCGCTACAATTTCGTGTCCTTCGAGGAGTCTGATGGGCCCCGCACAATAACGACCCGAGACCCGACATAAGAACCATATCATTCAGCTCAATGTTTGAGAAATGCATCGTCACATTCCAAGCAAATTGTGAGAAACTTCAGAAACAAAACTTTACATTTACTAGTATCACGTGTTGACGTTTTCCAAAATAACATACATTCTCAGAACAACAAACTGTCAAGAAAGGATCTTTGTTTTGATTGTTCTTATGGTGTGCTACCAGCAAAAATTCAGATGACCATGAATCACTAATAGGCGACTTTTACGGACCAATCAGAAACAGCAAAGTAGTGCCTGCGTGGTTGCGATTCATCCTGATTGGGCACAGGTGATTGGGATTAATGTATTAGTGAGGAAGGATCATATCTTTAAATGAAACTACCATTTTCATAAAAAACTAATTTGGAAAAAAACATCTATTAGTTTAATTCAATGAAATGATACTTCCTCACTATACACTAATCTCACAAATCCAATCAGCTGTGTCCAATCAGGATGAATCGCAACCACGCAGGCGCTACTTTGCTGTTTCTGATTGGTCCGTAGAAATCACCTATTAGTAATTCATGGTCATCTGAATTCTTGCGTCCGAAACGGTCAGAAGCATGCGCAGTTTCACAGAACTGTATGATTTTTTTGGGTTCTATGGACGTGTGCATGCTTCTGACGGTTTCTGATTGTTTATTTTCTGAACGCAAACAATCCTAGTTAGTACTGTCAAAGGTCACAGCAAAGAGGAAATCTATGGTCACAGATACTACTGTTCTGAGAAATGATGTTGACAGATCATATGATAATAGTTTTGTTTGTGTGGTTGCTGGTTTGTAAAATAATTGTAAACGTAAAATAAAAAATAAAATAATTGGATGTTGTGTCTTGTGTCGTGATAATCGTGATATGGTCGTGATCGTGATTTTCAATGTGAGATTGCCAGGAAGGATATGTCGTCGTCGAGTCGTTTTCGATGGTTTAAGTGCGAATATGAACCAACAAGAACACAGGACGATATTAGTCTGGAATGGACTCGATATTAGTATTTGTTTGCTCTCGGGAGTTTTGCTGTTCGAGCAGGTATGAGAAAATCTACTAGGTGAGTCGATTTTCAACTTTGTGTATGTTGTGTACCTATTTATTGTCTGCTAATTTTGTATCTACCCGCTGGGGCCTTATTTTCGAATTGAAGGAAGGGGGACGTTCTATCATTCCCCTCATGTTTCTCTCCGTCTCTCGTGATCCATGGAGATAATCACCCCATAGTTGCATAGTTCTCTCAGTAAACTTCAAAAAATAAGGCTCCTGTACATATTACATTCACCTATATTAGTTTCCATAACCTATTCCAATTCATATTCATTCTGTGACAAATTTTTATCAGGATATTCGTCTCTGAAACAATCTGGCATCACTGTCTTGTTTTGACGTTAGTGAATGACGAATTGGGGATTCCCTGGGATTCCGCAGATTTCACTTGCTTCCCAGTGGCGTACTCGAATTTCGAAGCATTTTATGTTCAATTTTCAAAATGAAATTTCTCGTTAATGTGCAAATATTTTAGTAATTTTTGTTAGACTCTCTCATATATATGTCTTGAATATATGCACTTATTTTAAAATCAGCCTGTATAGACTATGGTCAATACTAGTTTTCAAATTCAAAGGCTATACTTATTCCGAATTCAACTATGGTCAGTACCATAGGTCAGTACCTCCGAACAACAAATGTCAGTAGATCCACTGACTGCTAAAAACCTGTATTGCTAAATATAAAATCAAAAATACAGTGCTGTAATTCAGTCATTAGCAGCAGTTGATCAGCTGGTAAAAGTTGTCAGTTGTCAGGTTGTCACTTCTGTAGTTTTGTCGTTTATCTGGCCATTTCAATAACGGGCATTTTTTTGATATTAAAAATGATACAATTAATTTATTATTGTCAAGAAAAGACTCAACGTTCAAAAAAGAAAGGAAATAAATGTGATTTTTCTTCCCCCTCTGAAATAATGACAGTTCACTGAAGCCACACTACCTTTTGATAGTAAGCAATTCCAGCAGAATATTGAGTCGAAATATTTGGAATAAATAGTATGTCTGCTTACAACTATCTGTGACTTTCAGTATTTTTTTTTTATTTTGGAATGAAAAATCAGCAGATTCAGTACTGTCAGTTGAATTCGGAATATAGCCAAAGTCAAATTTAATCATAAACATAAAATAAAATTATTCAATATTTTTTCTCGAACTCCATAAACAAATAATAATCTTTCCCAGTTTGCTGGTTTTGAATCCCACATAGCAACCGTAGCATGGAAGTAAACTTACATAAGCGATGGTGTTTTCAGAATTTTGAAACCTCCTCTTTGGTTGGGAAAGACATCTTCTAAGAAATAATAAATATGTCCCACCGCAATGCCCATCAAATCTACGTAAACAGCATTACCTAGAAGCACCGAGAATGCCAGAAGAATCCAAGGCAAATAAGGCGCCTGCAAATTCAAGAAAATAGCAAAATAAAATCTGTATCGCGTTTTTGAAGTGATAACTTCCGTAGGTCCGTTAGGCACTTCTGGGATGAGAGTAAAGCGGCCTGAATCGCGTCACGGAAGCGCGCGTACCAGTCTACACCTATACGTCTGGTTGATATGCGACAGCCGCTGCTGTACCTCACCCTCAGTATTCCAGTGGACACCAAAGCAGAGACAGCGTAGTCGTCAGCTCTGACCTGACATGCATCGAAGTCACGGATAGTCTAATAATATTGTGTTCTCGCTCGAATTACAAATATTTCTTTGCATCAATCATATCATTTATGATACACAGGGTGAGTAATAAATACTTCTTTACAAGAGGCAACTTGAAATTTGTCCATCAATATTTTTAGTTGTAGTTCATCCTTTTCTCGAATACGTGGAAATATTACATAAAATTAATATTACTTAGTCTAATAATATTGTGTTCTCGCTCGAATTACAAATATTTCTTTGCATCAATCATATCATTTATGATACACAGGGTGAGTAATAAATACTTCTTTACAAGAGGCAACTTGAAATTTGTCCATCAATATTTTTAGTTGTAGTTCATCCTTTTCTCGAATACGTGGAAATATTACATAAAATTAATATTACTTCAATAAGATTCCCCCGTTTTGTCGAAAAGATATTGGAAATACTGACCGGCCATATAGAAGTTATCACTTCCAACGTGTGGTCCTAGGCACACAAATTTTGTTCTGATGCAATGATATCAAGATACTAACCTGAAAATTGAGCAGGCCAAAAAAGTTCATCCTCACAAATGGATTCCGCCTTGACCAGACATAAACTAACATTATCGTAAATGCTTGACCTAAGAATAATAAATTAACAAAGAAGGCAAAGCACTGAGATGTTTGTTAAGGCAAATTTCTTTGGTGATACATAATCATAATATTGGTTCTCATGAACTGAAGTGAGGCAAAGTAACTACATATTATGTGAGTACCTTCAGAGTGTAACTTATTTTTTCTACAAACGCTTAACAAAGTAGCCTTTGACGCTTTCAAATTCCAGCACAAAGTTGACGTTTTCCCAGAAATGTCATTCTTTGACAGCATTTGCGCTCGTGAGCAGAAATATTGAAAAAACGCTCGCTTATCTCTGTAACCTATACTTATCTATTCTTGAAAACCCCCAATTCTTTCATGATGGAAAATAATGACAGTGAATCATCAAACACACCTCCTTCCTGATGATATAGCAGAAAGCGCAAGAGTTTGAATCTCTTACCGGAGAAATCGAGGAAGAAATATGAAGTACAATATGATACATTCATAAATTGGTGCTACTGGCTTATTTTGGTAAAAAATCAAAGACTTTGAAGTCATCAACTCATTGGTCTATATATTCGATGGTACGTATACATGCTTGAATGTTAAAGATAATATCGGAATCAATAAGTATCTGAAACTTATCGCATTTCTAAAGAAACACTCTATTGGATATAAAGCGAGACAAATCCAAAACATTTACCGCTGAAGATATATACCAACAAATTTCTACAAGAAGCTCCCGATGAAGCATATCTGTCGAAAACGATGAATTATACTTTATATTTAAACTCTTTGTTGTCATCGGAAAGACAGTGTATCTTTATTTTATTGCATCAATGAGTAATGTTCAATTTGATTGCAGAGCTTATCGTACTATGGCTCAGAGGTCTGAAACTCAGGTTGCCACGCTGGTGGTCCAGTTTCAATTCTCGGTAGGCCCGACATTTTTTTCTGGCTTGTCAGTTATTTCAATTTTTCTTTTTTTTTGTTTCCTTTGGACATATGGGATAATATGGATTAGAACTTTCTCAACTTTTTCAATCGCTCATACTTTCAGGGTAGTTATTTCCAAAAGCTGCGTTAGTAGAAAAAATCTTGCATGTATTTCGAGCACAAAGTGTTATTGCCGCTCTCCAAAGATTACCGCGCTCCGCTCCGCATCGCGCGGTAACTTTCTTTGTCGAGCGGCAATCTATCACTTTGCGCTCTAAATACACAAATAGCTATTGGTCATGTTTTGGAAATATCCTGTAGAGGAATACTAGGGCATTAGAGCAAGGCTTATTTTTCAACAGGAAATAGAGCTCACCTGAATAAACTATCCTATCAAGAGTCTCAAAAAAACTGAAATGGAAATGTTACTGGTGAGGTAATATTGATGTGGATATCGTTTAGAAATAGGTATTGGGACTTCGAAAGCGAATAACATAGTGGTATGTAAACACTCTTACATTTACAAAACTGGAAATATAAAATTTTGACAATCAAGTTCTAATTTTTTATCATAAAAATACGCTCAAGATAATAGTGCATTTTTTTGAAACATTAAATAGTTATTAACGTTACAACACCGATATGTAGCAAATAATGAGGTTGAATATTTTAATCCGAGGTGTAGACGAGGATTATAACAGCCAAAACCGTTATTTGCGTATCGGCCGTGTGATGTCGTTCAAGACTATGTAATTTCACTGAAAGGTTACATTTTGATTCCGAGGAAACAACCACAAACCACGTGTACCTCTCGTAATTCTACAGAAAAATTCCAACATCGTGTTGTTATGGAACAGTTAACGGCCGCCGGCCGTTAAACAACCTTAACGGTCGGTGGCTGTTGACATTAACTTTTCAATTGTCATCTGAATACCGTCAAATCAAAATAACAGTACGGGATTACGAAAATGAAATACATTTATTCTTTTTACGGCATTCTAACAGAAATACCTTTTACATGCAAAAATATCTGAAAAATTATATTCTGGTAGTAGAAGTGAGATAAATCACGAAACAAAAAAAATTGGGCCATTTTTATATAGAATCGGTTACGAATTTTGCACCTCCCTGTGTATTATATCATGTTTTCCGTACCACGAAACGATTCATTAGATCAAATCACCCTTGGCGTGCCTAATTTCGTGATTCTAGGATCAAAGATAATTGATCAAAACATCAAAACTGCATTTTAAGGACCTACCTTCAAGGGGATCTATCTAGCGCCCTAAGGAAGCCTTTTCGGACACTTGTTGATAGGACTTTTTTTTATAATAATATATATACAGAAATTCGACCGACAACGCTTGACAGGTGATAGCTCTCGTGATTTCATACGGTCTTCAAGGGTTCGATCAGTTCTCGAGATACAGGGCATTAAAGTTGAGAAATTAAAACAGTTGTTTCGCAATATCTCAAGAAAAATTGAATATAATGCATTCAACTTCGGTTTATGGTTTCATCTTTGAATGGGTCATTTTTTCACCAGGAAGCCATTCCGGACATTTTATCCAGTGGTGCCCTACAGGGGGATGTGGCAACTTTTCCTCCCATATTTTCTACGCGACTGATTAATTTTCAATTATCTCCAATTCCTCGAATTCATTGTTCAATTTTGTTCAAAACATGCATCACCTTCAACTGAGCTGATATGAACAGTTTTCGAGATATTTGACACAAAATAGAAGATTGCAAAGTAATATTTCATCATTTTCAGTAGTAGAAAATTGCAAAAATATTTTTCTGGTGTTGAGTAGTGATGAAACGGCAGTGAAGTGGTCAAGTACTCAAATTAACTGAGTATAGATATTATATCCTCATCTTATTGGATTACAGAAAAGCATTTGACACACTTGACCCTACAGTTCTATGCAAAAAACTCTTGTGTTTCGGTTTTTCAGAATCCTCAGTATCGCTATTAGGAAGTTATTTATCTAGCCGTTCTCAAAGTGTCATATTGGACCGTAACAAATCAGACTCCCTTTTGAAACCATTCGGAGAGTCCCGCAAGGTTCCATCTTAGGACCACTGCTATTTGCAATCTATATAAGCGACTTCCATGAATATATTAGATCAGGTAACATTCATCACTATGCTGATGACACACAACTTTACAGCTCTTTCAATTTCCATAATTCTAAGCTCGCCGAAGAAGATATCAACAGAAATTTACAGTTATTGTTCGATGCCTCCTGTGCCCATAATTTGAAACTGAATTCGAAGAAATCCCAAGCTATGCTTTTTGGTTCTAAATGTGTGAGAAAAGAATTATGTGATTCTCTTTCAATCCAAATTAACAAAGACGTAATTCCCTTTGTGGATGCATGTAAGAATTTGGGTTTATGGCTAGATACTGACATGAGATTCACTAAGCACGTTAACCATTTATGCCAATCCTCCTTTAATGTATTGAGACAACTTTATCCGAGTAGAAATATTTTATCGAAAAGAACTAAATTAAATCTTTGCGAATCCCTAATTTTTTCTAGATTGGCGTACTGTGATTGTATCTACGGACCTGCTCTTCTACAAACTGATTCTACACGTGTGCAAAATATTCAAAATAGCTGTGTTCGTTTTTCATATGGTATCCGCAAATATGAACACATTAGTGATGCCTTTCATGACTCTGGATGGCTGAAACTGAAACACACGAGGGAAATACACCTACTCACTTTCACCCACAAAATTTTGACATCTGGTTCACCGCCATATTTACGTAATAAACTTTCTAAACTATCACTTAAAAAGTCTTCGCGCAACAAGCATTTGCTACTTATTCCTAGACATACCAACTCAATTTTCACCCGAAGCTTTTCCTATAATGCTGCTAAGCTCTACAATACCATCCCTGTTGAATTCAAGGAATTTACTTTAAATAATTTTAAGAAACGGCTGAAATTGTTTTTCTCTGGGCGGCAGTAGTTTTTCCTTTTTTATGACGGCGTGATTTTTGATCTGGTTGTAACTATCTTATTTAGTGCATTAAACTGTACTGTCCACTTATACATTTATACTAATTTTCTGGTAATTATTCCGATAATCTATGTACAATTCTTAATCATAAATTCATTTTGAAAATTCTGTAACTTAGTTTCTTATTCTTAATAATTATATTTATATCATTCTACCGGTTGGGTTTAAAAGCAGCTTCTTAGCTGAACCCCGCCCTTTCATCTATTTGTTTCTTTCTCTACCAGTTGTGAAATGATGATGAATAAAGACATATTATTATTATTATTATTATTATTATATTTCGTAATATTTTCTCGAGTATTTTATATATGACATTTATCAATCAATATTTTTATTTGACAACTACATTTCAATTATTCTCTATATACAGACTATAACTAGATATTGAATTATAGAAATCTAACAAGTAGATTAGATACTATCCAGCTCTCATTCTGTAGCTGAACAGAAATAGTTATTCCACGCATAAAGAGAAAACAAAAATGTTTGTAATCTTCTACTACTGAAGAAGATGAAAAATTACTATGCAAACTTCTATTTTGGGTCAAATATCTCCATAACTGTTCATTTTAGCTCAGTTGAAGATGATGCAGTTTTTCAATATAATTGAACAATCAATTCAAGATATTGGAAAAGATCGAAATTTCATCAGTGGCGTGGAAAATATGGGAGGAAAAGTTATCACAACCCTCTGTAGCGCACCTCTGGGTAAAATTCTCCGAATGTCTTTCTGGTCAAAAAATCAACCATTGAAAGATGAAACCATATACTGAATTTGAATGCATCATATTCAATTTTTCTTGAGATATTGCAAAAAACCTATTTACATTTCTCAACTCCAACTCCCTGTATCTCGAGAACTGATTACTTGAAGACCGTATGTTCCTATCTCAGTGATTATGAAATCACAAGGAAATGTCTTTCTGAATATCTTCAAGTAAAAAAGTTGCTCTTGTGGAAATTCGCTAAAATGAGCTCTTTTCCAGATATTTAGGTTTTTAAAGTTACATGCAGCACTGGAATATTCAAATTATTCTCAATAAAAAATGTCAGCTGTTATCTTCATGGATATAATTTGGTCAGTGAATGAGCAGTACAAAAATGAATTTTTCAAAATACTTTTTCAAATGTGCTTGACAATTTCAATTTTTAAAATTGATCACCCCATGTCTGGCAAATGGGCAACTTCAGACTGAAATAGGTTGCTCTCAATCAGCTTATTTTGACCTCAGGACTATGTGCTGAGATTGTCTACAGACTGGTATTATAAGTTTAGTAATTTTTTTTCAATTTATTTGAATACTCCAAGAGATAACTAGATCCATAATGAGTGATAAATATATGTGTTACTTGCATGTCAACAAACTTGTATAATTATCAATTATACTTATCAAATAATAATTTTTGTAGCTCAAACAACTGATTTACATGTAATGCATAGGAAGAGATACTTTTTTATACATCACATATTTCCAAAAAGAAGTTTTTTCATGTGTCTATTGAAAGTGTTGATGGACTGACTGTTTTTGATGTGTTCAGGAATTTGGTTAAACCATTGTAGAGCTTGAAATGTAGTTATTTTTTTTTTCAATATTAGTAGCACTAGGTAGGTAGTATGTGGAAGTGTTGATTTGTTCTGGTTTTGTAATAATGTATATCACAATTTTGTGTTAGGTTGACTTCTGTTTCTTAGTTCAATAGGAATATTTCATGTAAAAATATATTTAAAAATGACAGATTTCAATATGAGAAATTTACAAAACAAATATAATGGCCCTAAAGTATATTATAATTTATACATAAAAGATTTTTAGAGTAAAAGCCATCATTTTACTATCAACAAACAAAAAAATAATTTAAAAAATGATCAATTCAATCAATAAGTGATGTATTCCAAGGGAAAAATAGAGGGCTGAGCAAAACAGAACAAAAAGTCTTAGCTTTTATTATAAGGCAAGGAAAACAGAAGAAAAAAATCTGATGAAGTGTTTTTGAAGGACATTGACAATATTATTTTAGCAAAATTTGCATATTGTTTCACATTCAGAATCTGAAGTAATGACATCATTGAAGTATTTTTTCTGGAAACTACATTCAGGCATTTTATCAAAGAGTGATAATTTATGAACAAATTTTGTACAGCAAAATCTTTACAAAGTAATGAGTACATTTTTAGAAAAAGTATCAAACATTTAAAATAGTTAGGATTCACAATGTGAACTAGCCTTTGGAAACACATAGCAAATTTGCAAAAACATGTTTATTAAAAAAACTAAGATTGAAAAGAATTTTAAAGGGCTCCAACAAAATTCTGAATTTGAGAAAAAATCTCAATGCGCATAGAAGATTGAAATTATAAAAAAAAGAATAGAAACATGCATGAAAAAGAAAAAAAATATGTTTTTCTATAATCATCTTGATAATTGTCACTATAATTTTTCAACAGAGAGAGTTGACAAACTTTATGTACCAGGAATTTGTTGAAAAATATAACTCAAATATGTAAATATGGGTATGTTTCTAGGAGAAAAAAAATTGATGACTTCACTACTTATTAAATATCCAAATATAAAAAAATGCAAAATATGTCTTAAAATGGGCCTTGATCCCAATTGAAAACTTCTTTTCTGATTTTTTCTATTGTCTTCTTTCCTTGTAGTAGAGCTGAGAAATTAAGTTTTGCTCACCCTGTACAGTGTGTCAAGCTTTCAATGCTATTGCCCAGGCTATTGCCATCTGTTGCATGATTTCTCAGTTATCTTTGACGATTGAGTAATGCAATTTTAACATTAGTTCCTTACTTCTTTGTGAAACAAATAATGCTGCAAACATAATTTTCATAGTCCTTCATGTTTTTGAGATATGTGTAGTTGAAGAACCAGGCCTTACTCATTTTATTTCTGTAATAGCTTCATTCAGGTTGTTTTCGATTCTATAAATAATTTTGACACTACCTAGTTTAACTATATCAGGGACTTTCAAAATGTTTAGATCTTTGTAAAGCATTATTGTGTATGTCCTATATGGAAAATGAAATGAAGTGTCAACTAGTTTATTCTGGGCTATTTGTAATCTATTGATATCTAATTGTCTTGCTTGTCCCCAAAAAGCAGCCAGGTAAGTCATATGCAAATACACATGTGGATAGTAAATTTGAGAACTAAAGTGACTCAATTTCATGAGTGATTGTTGCCCTCAATTATGTGATCAAATGGGCAGCCCTATGGTATACTGGATTTTTTGCTGGGTTGTAGCAAAAATGGCACCAAAGAACTCATTACAGGAGAAAAAGATATAACTCAGCATCATTCAATTTGAAAAATTAGTCTTCTCCAAAAACTCATTAAGCTCTTCAAGGGCCAATTACAAGTCAAATCTTCTAAAAAGGATACAATCATGCATACTGCTCCAAAAACAAACATCAGCACAAAATCTGCTGTCCTATTTCTGAATGATCCTTCTTCTAACATCCTACAATATCTATAAGTGAATATCATATTGAAAAAGAAATTGAAACCAAAGGTTCCAAAGAAGAGGAATGTAGTTATCAATCTCCATAGTTGTCCTTGTTTGAGAATTAAGATAGGATTGAAGTATAATTGGAATGGTGATGCTAACTCCAATTGCTGAAAAAAAAATCATGATTTTTGAGGCCATAATAATTGAACATCTGAAATTTTGGTTACTGTTCATAGTGACTATCAAATTTAAAAGTATCAGGTTCTGATCTGGTCAATATTCCATATGAATGAATAATAATACTATGAGGTGTATTTCCCCATCAATCATTGTTCAAAGTCAATAAGGTTTCAAAATGATAGATGATGATGAATGTATATGCACAAATCAGAAGCCCTAAAAATAGATTATTCTTTTCAACTGAGTCAATTCAATCAATCCTGAGGAATAATTTAAGACCCACAATTTTGCAACTCAAGGAACAATAAGTATTACTACAGGATTTCCAACATGTATACCGAGATGTATACATCCCTTGATTATATACACTAGTATGAATACTCAAAGATACAACTCATAAGATATATAAAATAAGTCAATACAAGCACAAACTACTTATGAAGAATGCCATTACTTATCAGAATATGAAGATTATTTACTACAAAGGTCCTACCACAGCTAAAGTAGTAATAACACATGCAGTTGTATATGCCCTGGTGACAGGGGGCATATTCATGTATTCATTTCTTAGACTCATGTATGCCATTTTGCGTGGAACTATTGCCGTTGTCAATCACGACATCATATAATAATTTCAATTCTACTTCGGTTTCATGTATTTCACATATATTTGAATTATTTAGGCCACATCACATTATTATTATTTATCTTCATTTTGTCATTGGTCATTGGACTATCAATGTCAAGTAGTCAAGTGTGTCAGTGTCAACAGTCAACACTGTCAACGTGTCAACAGATTGTAAAAAGTGAGTTCCCAATGCAGCGTTTTTGCTTACGCGATGAAGTTGGAATATTTTTGGGAATATTTTAACTTTTTGACGTTGCTGCTTTGTGTTGAGTTGAGGTCATGTTCTAGAAACCTCAACATTTCATTTTCGAGAGTGTAATTCTTGTAATTAATCTCATGGTTAGTTAAATCATTGCAATATCACTGAAATAAGCAGGAAAGTCAACAGATCCGAGTTTAGATGGCTTCTTTTTGGAATTTGGCGGCAGGTATAGAGAATTATGGCGGCAGGTGTCAGGTTGACATAATGACATATCTCTTGACGTTCTCGAATCACAAGTTCACCACAACAGATTAAATCTCGAGTTCTCGACTTTGCAAACTCGACTTTGTAAACTCGAGATCTCGAGATCTCGACTTTCACAACTCGAGATCTCGACTTTCACAACTCGAGAACTCGAGATCTCGACTTTACAAACTCGAGAGTTTAAAAAATATACAGGGTGTTTCGAAATTCGATCGACAACGTTTGACAGGTGATAGCCCTCGTGATTTCATAATCATTGAGATAGGAACATTCGGTCTTCAAGTGTTCAGTTCTCGAGATACAGGGCGTTGAAGTTGAGAAATGAAAATAGTTGTTTCGCAATATCTCAAGAATAATTGAATATAATGCATTCAACTTCGGTATATGGTTTCATCTTTGAATGGGCCATTTTTTGACCTGGAAGCCATTCCGGACATTTTGTCCAGTGGTGCCCTACAGGGGGTTGTGGCATTTTTTCCTTCCATATTTTCTACGCCACTGATTGAATTTCGATTATTTCCAATTCCTCGAATTCATTGTTCAATTTTGTTCAGAAAATGCATCACCTTCAACTGAGCTGAAATAAACAGTTCTCGAGATATTCGACCCAAAATAGAAGATTGCATAGTAATATTTCATCATTTTCAGTAGTAGAAAATTGCAAAAATATTTTTCTGGTGTTGAGTAGATTAGATACTATTCAGATCTCATTCCATAGCTGAACAGAAATAGTTATTCCACACATGAAGAGAAAACAAAAATTTTCGTAATTTTTTACTACCGAGGAAGATGAAAAATTACTATGCATACTTCTATTTTGGGTCAAATATCCCGATAACTGTTCATTTTAGCTCAGTTGAAGGTGATGCATTTTTTCAACATAACTGAACAAACAATTCGAGAAATTGGAAATAATTGAAATTTCATCAGTGGCGTAGAAAATATGGGAGGAAAAGTTATCACAACCCTCTGTAGCGCATCTCTGGATAAAATTCTCGGAATGTCTTTCTGGTCAAGAAATTAATCAGTGAAAGATGAAACCATATACCGAATTTGAATGCATTATATTAAATTATTCTTGAGATATTGCGAAAAAACTATTTAAATTTCTTAACTTCAACGCCCTGTATCTCGAGAACTGAACACTTCAAGACCGTCTGTCCCTATCTCAGTGATTATGAAATCAAGAGGGCTATCACCTGTCAAGCGTTGTCGGTCGAATTTCGAAACACCCTGTATAGAAGTGGCCCTCCCAGAGCTTCGTAGAAATATCTACCTGATTATCTCATTTTCACTGTGCTATTTTTGTACTCATCTGACGCAGCTCTTCATACCTAGGGTCCCTTGATGGAAATTGACGTTAAAGACATCTAAACAGGGTACGGACAGATCATAGCTGCATTCTTTTTCAATGATCTAGAGACTTTAGTTTTGTCTACTGGCATCCCTGACATTGCTGTCACGTCACATCCATGGGCGTTACAGAAAATCATTCAGAATTTTAATAATAGGTATGTACAGGGTATTTAGTTGTTGAGGAAGATCTCAGATCATATATGGCGAACGAGTTTTGTCATTATGATCCGATTCTATTCAAAATTGAAAGGTATCTGGGGTTTTCCGGGGTTGGAGATAATGATTGTTTCGTCAAACTTGGAAAACTCAAGATGACGGATCCAATATACTCTATAGCGAAAGAAATTTTTAATCATGATCCGATTCTATTTAAGATTGGTATCTGAGGTTTTTCGGGGTCGAAGTTCATGAGTTTTAGTCAAAATTGGGAAATTCAAGATAGAGGATCCAATATGGCGAACGAATTTTGTAATTATGATCCGATTCTATAGAGAAATCAAAATTGCTATCTGGGGATTTCCGGGGTCGGAGATTATAATAATTTCGTCAAAATTGGGTTATCAAAGATAGCGGATCCTAATTGGTGGACGAGTTTTGTAATGAAGATCCGATTCTATTCAAAATTGGTATCTGAGGGTTGTTGGGGTAGGAGATAATGATTTAACGATCAAACGAACTTACCGTGAAGTTCGATCGAAATTATATGAGGCACCTCGTCCGAAGAGATCACTTGTTTTAGCTAGGTAGTACCACTCTTAGGTACGGTTGATGCCACAATGTATTAAGTAAGAAGAAGAGTTTTTATCATACAGCACCCTTCCTTACCGACTGGACCGTGTACTATTTCAAAGTATTTCCCACAATATTTTAAAACTCGGGATTGGGCGGGCGGGAGTGATCTCTTCGGACGAGGTGCCTCATATAATTTCGATCGAACTTCACGGTAAGTTCGTTTGATCGTTAAATTATATTTCGGCACCTCGTCCTCGAGATCACTTGTTTTAGCTAGGTAGATATTCAAAGTAATGTAAAAATATTGTGGAAGTTGGATTCGGATCAAAATAAACCAGCACAACTTTATTCAAAATTGAAAGTTGACAGCTCGATTATATCAAATTTTAAGTCTTATTGAAGACTGCCTTAGTAAATGTCCCAGGATTTTTGTTGATAGGGCGATTGTAAAACTTGGCAAAAACGGATGATTCCTTAGACCATCCCGCCGCTCTTCTGATTATATCCCATGATATGCCTAGTCTTGCTGCTTTAGATGTGGCAGCATGACGTGTGGAGTATGCAGAAAATATTTCAGTATTGATTCCTGCTGCTGCCATCTCATGTTTTATCCATTTCGATATGGTATCTTTTGAAGCTCGCTTGAAAGGCTTCCTCGTCGACAAAAACAAGAAAGGCTCTGTCTCTAGTCTTTTACTGGCCGATCTTTCGATATAGGTTAATAGAGTTGAGGTCACACATACTGAACTACCCTCAAAAAATGGTAACTCTATGTATGGTTGAAAACCCTTCAAACTAGTAGTCTTAATTCTATCCGGGATATATATATATGCTCCTTCTTTCTGAAAGGTTATGTTTTCCACCCTTATGACATGTAGGGTTTGTATTCTTTGGCCTGTAGCCATAGCTAATAGAACTGCCAATTTTCTTGACAATTCTAAAAAGGATAAAGTCTCATTAGTACCCAATGAAGATAAATGATCCAACACTTTTTGAGGCTCCCATGTGATGTCATATTTAGGTATTGGAGGTCGCAATCTTAAAACACCCTTGAGAAATCTCCTTATAAGGGCATGTTTTCCAATTTCCTTTTGAAGAATTAGAGAGAGTGCTGACCTATGCTGGTTGAAGGTTCCATATTTTGCTCTAGAACGACCCAACTCATATTGCATGAATGCCAATATAGTGGATATTTCTGCTTCAAAAGGATCTGCTTTTTTATTCAGACAGAATGACCACCATGCCTCATAAGAGGAATTGTACTGTCTCATTGTTGATTCAGATATAGACTGCATCAAGGTGTGGATTGTTTCCTCTGAATGGCCTTTTCTTAAAAAAGCTTGCCGGACAATTTGCCTGCCACCAGGGAAAGGGTGGCATGCAGTGGATGTGTTTTCCTGAAAGGGGAGGAGAGTAAATGTTTATTAGGTTCGAATTTGACTATCCTTAAATCACTGGTTAACAAACTTTTGAACAGTGGGAACCAAGGTTGAGAGGGCCAATCTGGTACAACCACTATTCCCTCAGCTTTGTCAACAATTATTTTATTCAATGTTCTCAAAATCAGAGCAAACGGTGGAAAGGCGTAAAAGAAAATGTTTTCCCAAGATAAAGTAAATGCGTCAATTGCTATTGAATCTGGGTCTCTATGCCAAGACACATATTTATCCACTTTTTTATTAGCACTGGATGCAAATAAGTCTATATCAGGTTGGCCCAAACACCTTATGATTTCACTAAAGGCGAGGTCTGACAGTTCCCATTCTGTTTCTATAGATATGACCCTAGAGTCTTCATCAGCAATATTTTCTCTAGTGTTAACATAATTAGCATGTAACCACAAGTCTCGACTTTCACACCACTGCCATATTTCTTTTGCCAATAGACACAACTCCAAGTGTTGTACACTACCCATTCTGTTAATGTAAGACAAAGCTGTGGTATTGTCTACTCTTATTAGAATATTACAAGATCTGAGATCTTTAGCGAAACATTTCAAACCATACAAAATCGCTTTTAACTCCAGGTAGTTAATATGATTTTCTTTTTCTTCTGTGCTCCACCACCCATGAGTGGATTGGTCGTTTGCACATATACCCCAACCAGTTTTTGAAGAATCAGAAAATATTTCAAGGGCAAAGTTATCTTGTCTAATTTCATTTCTACTGCCAATAATTTGATGGGCCCACCACTCAAGATCACTACCTATAGAATCGGATAGTACCATAGTTCTATTGTAATTTTGATTAACTTTTTTAAGTGCCAAAAATTTTTCCCTCTCCAGCATTTTTGTATACAATCTGCCATACTTAATTGCTGGGCAGACAGATATCAAAGAACCCAGAAACTGAGCAAAATGCCTTATTTTACATTTCCTAATTTTTCTGATATTTTCAATTTTTTT